ACGAAACCTGATCTGAAAATGTTTGTGTCCACCTTAGATCTTCAGGAACGATTAGATCCCAGAGATTCATTTTTCGGTGGACGAACCAATGCCTCCAAATTGTTTTATGAGGCTCAGGACAAGGAAGACATGTTGTACATGGATTTCACTTCATTGTACCCTTGGGTGAACAAGTATGGTCAGTATCCCGTTGGGCACCCTCATCATAACCAGAAATTTCAAATCCTTGGATCAGTATTTTGGCATTGCCAAAGTCAAGATCCTACCCCCTCGTGGACTGTACCATCCTGTTTTACCCTTGAAGTCTCAAGGCAAACTAAAATTTGCTTTGTGTCACACTTGTGCTGAAACGGAACAACAAGAACCATGTCAGCACACTGATGAAGAACGTTGCTTCATTGGGACATGGTGCCTTCCAGAGCTGCTCAAAGCACTTGAAAAGGGTTACGAAATTCAAAAAGTATATGAAGTCTATCACTGGGCAGAAACCACCCAGTATCACAAAACGACCCAATCAGGCGGTTTGTTTGCCAGTTACATCAACACCTTCTTGAAAATCAAGCAAGAATCTTCAGGTTGGCCGGCATGGTGTCAGTCAGACGCAGAGAAACGAAAATACATTGACAACTATCTAAAGAATGAAGGCATTAAGTTAGACAAAGAGAAAATTGAGAAAAACCCTGGGTTGAGAGCCCTGTCAAAACTAATGTTGAATTCATTCTGGGGTAAATATGCTCAAAGACCCAATATGAGACAGACCAAATTTGTTCATAGTACTAAACTAGAAGAATTGTATCAACTTTTGACCGACTCCAAAAAGACCCTACATGATTTTCACATTCTGAATAATCATGTAGCCCAATTCCAGTGGACTCATGACTCAGAATTCATTCCAAACAGTGATGTCACCAATATTTTTATTGCCACTTTTACCACCTGCTATGCAAGGCTAAAATTGTACAATGTGTTGGACATGCTACAAGAACGTGTCTTGTACTATGATACTGACTCTGTCCTCTTTGTCTCTGCCCCTGGTGATGTGAATCCACCCTTGGGGGACTATTTAGGCGAACTCACCGATGAATTGGAAGGAGACCCCATTCGGACCTTTTGTTCAGGAGGGCCAAAGAATTATGCCTACAAAACAAAATCTGGAAAAGAATGTTGCAAAGTAAGAGGATTTACACTGAGTTATACCAACTCACAATTAATCAATTTTGAGTCGGTCAAAGACATGGTGTTTTCTCACAACAGAAACGATTCCCCCGAACAAAAAACTTTAGAAGTGGTAAATCCTTCAAAAATTACAAGAGACAAATATTCAGCAAAAATATACAACAGGAAAGAAATCAAAACCTATAGAATGGTATATACAAAACGTGTCATTCAGACTAATTTTGATACTTTGCCTTATGGTTTTTGAGGTCAGAGTCAGCTGAGTACTTGTCAGGACTATTTCTATTGTGTCAGTGCCACTTGGCAGCCACAGGGAGCCACTTGGGAGCCACAGGGAGCCATTTGGGAGGTATCTGGGAGCCACTAGGGAGCCACTTGGGAACCGCAGGGAGCCACTTGGGAGCCACAGGGAGCCACTAGGGAGCCATAGGGAGGTATCTGGGAGCCACTTGGGAGCCATTGGGAGCCATTTGGGAGGTATCTGGGAGCCACTAGGGAGCCACTTGGGAGCCACTTGGGAGCCACAGGGAGCCACTAGGGAGCCATAGGGAGGTATCTGGGAGCCACTTGGGAGCCATTGGGAGCCATTTGGGAGGTATCTGGGAGCCACAGGGAGCCACTTGGCAGCCACTAGGGAGCCATTTGGGAGCCATAGGGAGCCATAGGGAGGTATCTGGGAGCCATTTGGGAGCCATTGGGAGCCATTTGGGAGGTATCTGGGAGCCACAGGGAGCCACAGGAGCCATTTGGGAGCCATAGGGAGCCATTTGGGAGCCATAGGGAGGTATCTGGGAGCCATTTGGGAGCCACTTGGGAGCCACAGGGAGCCATGTGGGAGCCACTTGGGAGCCACTTGGGAGCCACATGGAGCCATTAGGGAGCCACACTATAAATAGGATTAGTTTTATACAGGAAATATATTGAACAAGATGGGTAGGTTAAGAAAAGACTGTCCTGTACCTGGTTGTTCAGCTCGACATTTATTGAGACTTCCCTTACATCTATCCAAAGTTCACAAATTAGATTCTGATGGAAAGAGGCACTGGCTCAAGAAGAGGGAGGACATGACTGAAGTTCAACCCACTACACCCAAGTCAGCCATTACTTGGAGTCCTAAAGCTGTGATTGATCCGACTAAACCTTGGTGGGAAACACAGAGTTTAACACCTTTTGAACCCTGCTCCAGTATTTGTGTGTCTGGACCCACTGGAGCAGGAAAGACGCAGTGGGTGTATAGACTGTTGCAACATGTGAATGGCATGTATGTGAAGGACCCACCCCAGAAAATATTGTACTGTTATGGTGTTTATCAGTCTCTGTTTGACGACATGGAAAGAACCGTGCCAAACCTTGTGTTCCAACAAGGATTACCCACCGAAGCAGACATTGAACAGTTTTCCTCTGATGGACAACATGGGCTCATCATCCTGGATGATCTTTTACATCATGTGTTAAGTTCTAAAGACATGGAGTTGTTATTTACACAAGGCTGTCATCATCGATGTCTGAGTGTTATCTTTATAACTCAGAACTTGTATGGGCAAGGCAAGTCAGCACGAACCATAGCCTTGAACACGTGGTACCTGGTCTTGTTCAAGAATGTGCGTGATACCTCGCAGATAATGACCCTTGGAAGACAATTATTTCCTGGCCGGGGTGGTGTATTAGTGGAGGCATATACTGATGCTATGAAACAGCCTTATGGATATTTGGTGTTGGACATGTCTCCTCGTACAGAAGACAAACTACGACTCAGAACCAGCATTTTCCCAGGGGAAGATCCCGTTGTGTATGTGCCAAGAGTATAAGTAGTCGTCATTAAGACAGACTTTATCATTTGTAGACATGGAGTCTCAAGCTGACGACTGTCATATGTCTCTGAATATTCCCACAACAACCAACGTGGAACTCCCCCCTGTATTGAAACGTACCATTATCTCTCTATGGTGTATACTTGTGTTGTTAATAACTGTGGGATACATACTAACTCTAACATGGAAGGATAGTAGCATATTGGTAGGTAGTCCTCTACCCATGGACTACATTGTGAATGACAGTCACTACATATATGACTCAGTTGGAAGAGACTATAAATAGCAGTGACTTTGTTTGTCATGGTCAATGAGGGGAGTCATCCATGAGGCAGAGAGTTGTGCTTATAAATTGTGTTGAACATTGAATGGAACGTCATTATGTCTAAGACACTCAGACAGAACGGATATTTCTTACGGTTTTTGCAGGAGAATACATCCCTGTTCAAAAGAAGGTGCTGTTGCAAAATGTGACTGGTGACCAGTTAAAAGCCTTGGTAGAGATTATTTATAATCTGTTACACTCAGATGTACCTCTGTCAAAGAAACATTTGACTGCACTGAGAAAACATAGAAAAGTACTTCGGTTTCTCGGTGATAAAACCATATCTAAGACAAAGAAACAGCAATTACTACCCAAAAGTGTGGCTGTCATTAGTTTAGTGTTGAAGGTTGTTGGACCTTTATTGAAGACTTTGTAATGGAGCATATCCAAAACAGGTGCTCATTCCTATGGATAAATATAAACGACTCTTGAAAAATCGTGTGAATCCACTGAGTGGTGGTGGTGGTGCAATGGATACGTCATCAGATGTGACTCATCATACCACCATTGATGAGTCAGAACCCATGGATACCAGTTTGATTCTGAGTGTGCTCCCAAACTTTACAGACAGAGAGGTGCTGCTTTATTGAGACACATACAAAATGATCCCGACCAAAGACTGTCATGGAATCGGAAAGGTGTACTCATCTACCAGGGTCAAGTCATTCAGGGGAGTCATATTGCAGACTTACTCAAGGACTCACAGTATCTGTATAAACGTTTTCAACCCAAGGGAATGACTGAATTCTATCAGGCCTTAAAAGACATACACGTGCCGCAAGGACTTGTAGGCAACAGACAACGTCTGGAAGTGGAAATGAATTCCAAAACACCTGAAATGACACTGAGGCCTAAACCTCCGGGAATACCAACGCATACTCAACAGAGGAAAAAGAAGAAGCCTTTCAAATGGATTACATTGTAAATTTATGTATGTCTCATGTTGTAAAGTAGACTGTGGGTTGACCCCTAACCTGTAGTTCTACTCCTGTGAAACGGGGTCATTAAACATTGAAAAACATGTATATTTTGTTGTTTGTCTGTAGACATCTATAATAATAACAGAACACAGTGCCATACCTCCCAACCGTCCTTCTCCGATTGGGGACTTCTGTGGGCTAGCTAAATTTAGGGGTTTTTTTATGTTTATTTCCAAGTACATTATCTCATCACTATGAACATGAAACATAGTTAACCATCACTAAATCTAGATAGTATGGACAATTTTACATACATGCATTAAAATACTTAGAAGCATAGTCATACATCATGGCATCATTGACCATTGTATTTGAAGTGAAACTACTTTGAATGTCATACAACACATATCCTCTACATTTCATCATAATGTAGTAAACACAATACAGTCCACAAGTAGAGCTGTCACTGCTTTGAAGTACTTTGGTATTGTATTCATAACATGATCCATTTTAATTAAAAGTCTTGAAATTCTCTTCGATAGTAACTGGGTCTTTCTCCAAAGCTGTCAAAGAATTCTCCATAATTTGGTGAATGTAACCAAATAGCGATCCAATGCTGACCTCGTTGTGTTGAATCGTGGGTATTGACGATAAAACCTCGAGGGTAGGAGATGATTTTCTTTGGAAGTTGGTCTGTTGCACCTATTTTAACATTAAACTGTTTTGTGATTCCATCCGCATCAAGGGCACACATCAGTTGGAGTGAATTCATGGTGTAGAGTACAATATATTTCTTGCGTTATCCACTGTCAGCATGAGATTATCCTCAGAATAGAGAATCAGATTTGTTGTCTCAGGTAATGCTGTACTAAACTGAACGTGTAGCCTTACGCTTCCTCTTTTTATCAGATCCAAGTAGTCGTCTTTCAAATGATAAGGTTCTAGACAAAACTGGTAGAGAGCATATCCGCCCTTAAAGTCGTCCCTGTTGATATCCAACCCTCTGGATGCTCTTCCTTCAAACAAAGTATTATAAGCTGCAATGTACTGTTGATCAGTTACTCGGAGGGGTTCCCCTGGTAGTGATTCTCCATCCACATAAAGAACAATAGAACTGAGATTATACATTTGAAAATTAAAGGGAGATTTGGTGTAACTTCCATTGGCGGCTTCTGCAGATACCAACGCTACTACAATTTTATTGGGGACCTTGTTTTGGAACAAATTATCCACTGTGTAGTTCAGCTGTCCTTTGGGTAAAGATACAGTTTTTATGTCACTTTTGGTGAAAGGATACTTTGCAGTGTGATGGGTGAGAATTTTAGCATGACTGGTGGTAATGGCTGAGCTGGGTCGAATCTTACACATTCGCAGATAGATATCTTCTATTTTCACCTTGTAACTGGGTGAGTCTTCTCCAGACATGAGATTAAACGCAGCAGGGGTGCGGAACATTCGTATTTGTAAATCCACGCCATTAATCAAGTAGCGTTTTGAATCCATCAGATCTTCATAGAGAGGTCCACACATATCCACGGTTCCAAGACGAGAGTATTCATATCTTCCAAATAAACCTGTGTTGCTTGAATTAGGATCAGATTCGTCCAAATGATGCGCACTGTCTTTGTAATAGAGTTGAGACTGTAGTAGAGATTGTTTCACTGATGTGGTTTCGTTGAGAAGAACCTTGATATAACTCTTGTAAGGATATAGATTGGTCGAACTCGTAATGAGTTTTCCATTGAGAGACAAATCCACTTGAGAGAACAGACTTTGAAGCCATAAATTGACTGGTGCTGTTTTTTCATTTGTTGTAATGTCTGTTCCATCTGTTTTGAGTATCTTGGCCTGCACATGTAAGTGAGTTCTCCTCAAGTCAATGTAATCTACCCCTTGCCCTGAGATGTTAAATTCAATGGGACTGGAATCGGTTGTAATTTGAGACGTTGGTCTGTAGGTCATGTAATACTGTTTATCTACCGCTGCATAGGTAGGAGGTACAGTGAAGAGATCAAATTCATCAGTGCTAGCTTCAACGGACATACTTTCTGTGTATGAAGCCATTATTTCTTTTTGGCGGGTATGTCCAAGTTATCTCCAGAGGCACTTCTTTTAGATGTGCACAGCTTGCGCTTCTGGGAAGAACTGTTTTTCCAGCTTTAGTTCCCCTTTTATAGGTTTCTTCTGCATCTGAATAAGAGCCTTGGCCTGTTCAACCACTTGTTGAGTAGGGGTAACGAAATTAATCTTAGGTTGCTCTGTGGTTTCTGGTTTTGTTTGTCTTTCTTCCACTCTGGATCATACAGTTCCAAATATCGATCGACAGACAACATGGCAGATTTTCTCCTCCACGTGTTATAGAATGATAAGGGTCTCCTTTCCCTTCAGCCCTGAGCATGTAAAATCGTGTCCATTTTTCGGCATCGGGTACGAAGAGTTTGTATCGTGGATTATTCATGATGAAAACCAAAATGGGAGCGGCCTGAGGTGAAGCGTCACTGTCACTGGTCCACGGATAAATGAAGCTGGATTGCCCCATGGTCTGTTATATAGACATCCACAGTCTGAAAATCTCTGAGATTCATAGGGACATACTGACACTGAGAAAATGAAAACGAATGTTCTTTTCGGTTTCCTATGAGACATAAATGTCTGAGTAAAGGTTGTTTTGTTTCCCCTACATGTGATGAATCGCACAATGAGGAATAGACATATAAGTCACGACGTTCCGATTTTGTTTTATCTATGTCCAAGGACAATATAGATATTTCTGTCAGTCCTATCCTCCACCTTTGGTCAAGATGTAATGGTTCATTCAAACTCACTCTGAAGTTATAAGGTTTGTTGTTGGGATAGAGGTGTTCACTATCTGTACTTCTGATCGTAATGTATTTATCCATGTTTTGATTTAATCTTGGGATTTGGTAACAGGTATCCTAGACTGGAACTGAGGAGAGCTGTCCACAAATTGGAGTTTCCTCTGCCCAAGGACAAATTGACAATACACGTTATCACCACAATGTAAATAATGATGATTTGAGAGAAAAACACTGTTTCTGTTTTGGCCACTTTTCGACCTAGCAAAGTCCAACTTTCACCAGACCTGCTGCGTGAGAGATGATGTGTCTCTACTGTCTCTTCCATCATAAATGACTTTGAAAAGAGTTTACATTGTGCTTTTATACTGTTTCACTTCTGCTTCTGGGATCCAAGAATTGTATTTTTTCGACCAATGAAGCCATTTCACTAAGACTTCTTTCCGTTTATTTCTGGTCCTCTTTTTGACTATATCTTGAATTCTATACTCCTGATCTGGGTTTTCTATCACTGCTTGTAGCTCTGATGAATAAAAGGCACCTTCAATAGGGTCACCACCCCAATCTTTCAGCTTGTACATGTCATTGTCTTGTGACCAATATCTTCTGATGACTGTAAAGATTTCACCAGACCATTTCTCCTGGTATTCTCTGTCAAATGTTCTCCTAAGATGACTCACTCTGACTTTGTCACCCACCTTGAAGGTGAACTTCTTTTACTGAGTTTAAATGTCCGGGGTTGAATCAAATACTGAGAAAGTCGTACTTCATCTTCATTTTTATGAGTTACACTAACAGGCGACTGTCCTAACATTCTATGTTTGGTGTGGTTGTAACTCTTGACTACATCTGGTAAAATATCCACATATCTGTATGTAAAGTGTTTCAACATGTAACGATACAGTCTCATTTTAATGGTTTTAATCACTCTCTCAGCATAAGGGGCCTTGGTTTCATTCAGTGTAAACAGCTGGGTTACCTTGTGCTTTTTCAAAAAGGCTTTTACCCATCGATTCTTAAATTCTGTTCCCATGTCAGATTGAAATAGTTTAGGTTTTCGTGTTTCGGTTTTCCATAAGTTGGTTAATGCTTTCACCACTTCTTGACCTTTTGTAGACTGGAGTGGAATTACCCACAAGTAACGTGAAAACAGATCTATGATGACTAAGAGGTATTTGACCCCATCATTGTACTTTGCCAGTGATACCATATCCATGAGATCAGACTGCCAGTGACTGTCTAAACCTTCCACCACATACTTATTTCTTGGAAACTTTCTCCTAACTTGATGAGTCATGGTATAGTTCTCCTGACCTTTCAGCCATTTCTTGATTCGATGTAGACCAATTTTAAACTGACCCTCAGCTTTGACAGCTTCGTATAACTTCTTGGGTCCAGCATAACTACCAGGATGTTCTGGATCATAATAGATCCTATTCAAGTAGTCTTCATAAGGTGCCATCTCAAACACAACTAAACATAACTCACATACATCATACTATTTAAGCAAAACCCAAGACAAACATACAATACAATATTTTATTCACAACAAAGACAAATATTTACAACAACTTTTCACGGGCATACATTAGTGTTTTTCCTAACAAGTTTTCCCCTGGCCATTTCAGGGTTTGTCAATATCCGGATGCGATGCATCAATTCCTATTCCCCATCTTTTATCAAAGGGCTAGCTTCAGCTAACGGCTTAGGATAGGATTGAATCAATACGTGTTTCAAGTCACTGTTCTGGGAGAATTTAGCCCTTACAGCCTTTGTCATAACATCAAGACTGACAGTGTCCCACACTTTCTGAGTAAAGCCTTTCACACATCTCCCAAGACGTTTTTGCTTTGCCGGTGAAGTCTCTTGTAGTATGCACTTTGCACTGTCCAAATCTCCAAAGTACATTGCTTTAGAGTACATGTAACACTGCTCAACACAATTAAATGTAATACCATCCAAGGTAAACACAGCTGGATGGAAGTTGCTGAAGGGTGACTTCCATCCATAGAAACAGAGTCAGTTACTCCACATGTCATGTCCATTGGGGTTGCAGAAGGAACACTGGAGGTACCCCATCTGATTCTGATGATCCTCTTGTGCCATACAGGGGACCATGCCCTTCAGTTCGGGCACAAAATCAGGCATCACTTCCACACAGTATCCTAGTTTCTTCCACTGGTCCAGGGACAGCAGTATACCCTTGGCACGAGGAACCATAGATTGCATAGAGTTATCCCAACAACACTGTCGAATCTCTATACCCGTACTATCCATCGCAACAAACACATTAGCTCCCAAATGCCACTGTGGGTTAGGTTTCCCTTCGTTGACAGCCTCCTCAATGAATCGAATAGCTCCTGGGAGATCCACCCAATGTTTCAAACTCAGCACAATGCCTCGCTTGGTTGGATAGGCCGTGCCACCCGGGTATACTTCATACTTCCTCACATGAATGTTCAATACACCATCCCATGTCTTGGCTGTCACATAGACGTTGTCCCCCAGATGTAAATGGCATCTGGGATCCTGTAGTTCTGTCATCTGCTTGTCAGTCTCTACCCCCAGCAATGTCATCGCTTGTATCTCTCCACATTCCTGCAGTGCTTTGCAGAAGAGGGTGTAAGCTTGAGGGCCCCGTCTAGGAAGCATATCTAACAATTCTCGGACCCGATCAAAAGACGTCCGTGGTTTCTCAATAATCTCAGCTTTCATGAAACAAGTAAGCACACCAAACTGCATCAGTTTGTCGACCACATCTTCTACACGTTGTATACATGTCACGAGATCGGAGCGGTTCTTCCTAAGGATCTCGCGGTGAATGGTTTCCATCTTCGAGGTAAACAGCTACCAGTAGAGTCAAGAACATAAGATCCGTACGTAGCCCGACTGAAGTCAGAATGATATGGAGGACTGTTCGGGGGGGGACTTTATATACCCACCCGAGTCTAAAAATAGACCTGAGACAAAGACTCATCATCTAAAAATAGACACACCAGATGTTCACACCATAGATCTCACTATAGACCTGAGACAAAGACTCATCATCTAAAAATAGACACACCAGGTGTCCAGGTGTCTCATTATAAATTCAAAATGGACGATTTAGTCCTCAAGAAGCCTGGTTACAACACCCAGTGGAACTAATGTTGATGTTCTCATTGTAGAAGCTGTGAAATGGTAATTACTATGTATTACTATTTCAGTAAACAGGTCGATAACAAGCATGTGACATTTCGCCCTCATGGTTAAGTAGCACTATAATTTAACTAAGGACAAGGTTTACAAATTTAAAAAATGTACAGAACTCGTAAAGTCAGTGCAATGTGTCTTTCTGCTCAATAACCACTCACATAATCAGAAGGGGATTCTCAACTACTTACTACTGCACAATGGGGCTACTTCGCACACAGTGTCATTGCAGCGATTCGATAACTTCATTGCAATTGCAGCTGTAACAAGCAATGTTGGATCCCGTTCAATATAAGATGTCAGTGTTACTTGCTCTATTTGAATTCAGTCCAGACACATGCATATGTGCATGTCAATATCATGTGTATAAAACGTCCCCAGGTCAATCATTTATCACGCAATATATTTACCTGATTATGTACATTCCCATTATTGCATTGTAATCAATAAATATAACTTATATTTTAAGTTGCCTTATATTACACATGTGAGTGAAAAGGTAGTGCTTCCACTTGTTAAAATATTAAAGCAACATTGAAATAATAGGAATATGATCGAAATTTCGAAACTGGAGGCGAACGAAAATGTCACGAGAACAAATTGATGTTTAAAAAAAGAAGGAGGAAATAATTGACTTCACGAGAAATTTCAATTTTGAAAAATATAATTATGATACCGAATTGGCTCCATTAGTCTAACTTTCAACAAGTCCCTGGTCTTAGCTGCTTTTTCTCAATGGCTTTTAAAACTGTTTTTAACCTCTAATCAGAAACTCAGCTTGAGTCAATCACTTCAACTTTAAGACGCCCACCTTCTTACAACAAGCTTTTAACCCTACCTAAGCATGTACATTTAGTTATCTAAGACTTATAGAAGAACAAATAATCTTCCGAACACGGAAATCGCCCAAGAAAAATCCTGATAGTTATGAGGTGAGTTGAAATTGGGTTTAACGTTGTGCTCGAGAATATTTCGCTCATATGACGACGTGCATGCGTGTGTATGTGCGGCTGCTTGTACTAGCCCAGACTTAAGCTGGTTTTATAGTGCTAGCCC